TACTCTAAATTTATCTCTGCCAAGTGCCAGGGATACAACACATCTATGCGAGTACTGCACAGCCCTACATGGCTATCATTACGATGGACTATTGAGGCGCAGCTCTATACAATGGCATTGAGTAATGTGGGATAGTATTGCATGGAATTAAGATTGTAGTACTTCATGCATAGACGGTGATGTACTGTATAGCGGGTACCAAATATGTGTATATAAGTCCTATCTACTACTGTGATATGTAGACGATCATAACTAAGCTATTCATCATATCTTCAAGCTCTGATAATCGTTATCCACCCTCTGCACTATCCCTAGAATATTCAACATCTCATACCTACTTATACCTTAATCACAACACGACGTCGTTCCTTGCACAACGAATGGTCCAAGTACGACACTTGGAAGGAGTCACGACAGAGCGACAGCTAGTCTGCAGGGTCCCACAGGGCTCGCCGATCTCGCCTCTTCTCTTTCTTCTGTACATAGCAGAGCCAATGCGCATTGGTGCAACGAATCTGAGGTTTAGCTACGCCGACGACATCGATATTCTTGGATTTTGCCCCACTCGTGCTCAAGCTTCCATAAGGGAGAGCAAGACTAAACACGTGATGTCCTCTACGAACCTGGGAGTGAAATATTCTTCCAGAGTCTAGTTCAGTCTAATTTCGCAATACGATAGAAGTTGCCCCCCAAGGCAATTGTTGACTCCCAATGAAATACATTCCTATCTAAGCCTCATCAAGTCTACAAGTATGACCCCGTATATCCTTATTCCAATGATCACACCTCTCGCCGACTTTCTCTGGCCTCAGCTGGTCGCCAAATATATACCCATGCAGTTATTTGCACCCGACGGAGGAAGCAAAGCGTGGCGCACAAATTTGGGAGACACTTCTCTGGTATGAACGTAAGGGTGTTCAGGACAATTTTACAAGGTGCTACAGAGGATGGATACAACCTCGATGAGAGTGAAATTTTGAATTTTGGCCAGGACTTTTACAAATTGAGCTTTGTGCGCGCCGGGGTTTCGATTGCGAGAATGCAGGCTACACTATAAACACCGCCATGGTTTGATGGTGCGGTGGTACATCGTCTTGGCCGGTCTGCCAAGTAGAGTCTGGATAGCTTGGACACATATCCCACTTGAGACAGTAGATCGCTGGTTCAAATCCGGCAAAACACAACCACATTTCTCGCAGCGCTGGTATGCATGGATGACCAAAGGTTTTGAAATTCCCTTTGGTTGGTACTTACGGAGGAGGATCGACTGTTTGTGTAAGCAAGCATACCTCAAAGTGGTATTTGCGAATGAAATCCAGAGTGTGATTGTCTCTAACGTCAAAAGAGTCATCCAACATGTATACATAGCACCGGTCATGTGTCATAGATCTATAGCTGAATACACATTAAATGATTTAAAAAAAACCCCCCACATCATTTGTCACTCCTCATAACCCTGCAGTATGACTTCCGGAACCCTTATAATCACAACACATGACATCAAAATTTATCAGAGCCTCGTACTAATCTAGAGGTCTGAGAATCAGGGATCCTCAAAGGATCCGTAGAAAAGGTATATGCATCACGAGGCTCATCTCAGAGATCTAATTTTGCAAGGGGGGGGTAGCAGTACTGAAAATGGTGATTGCTTTGTCAGATAAGAGCGCGATGTGCTAGTCGATGGTGGACACCACAATACCCACGCAAACTATACATGCCATACCGGTTCTTGCGAACGAAATCCAGGCAATGAGTATGGTAAAGTCAAATGAGGCATGTAACAGATACCCGAGACTCTGATAAGTTTTTAAATGTAGATATCTAAACACTCATCGTGCGGATTTTAGGAATACCGATTGCAGGACCGTTTACTCTTTTCATTTCTGGCATTTCCGCCTACCTAGCACGGGGCACAGCCAATTCGCGAGGGAATATTTTCAACACCAGTCAGTGGTGGCCCCTATGAACCTCCAGCTCTCACTGCAGAGTCTGCAGAGCCGAGATTGAGTAACAAAGTCCTCACTTCGACGAGGATTCCCAATCGCTTACGCGGTCTGTATCGTCTTCATCTCTCAACACATCCCCCTATCACCATTATCATGAAGCCAACCACCATCAGATCAGATGGTAGGGTCGAAGCCCTTCTCATCACCAACCCTTGATCATTGAGGAGGAGCCATCCGATGAGTTTCCGGAGCGTACCCAGCACCCGATATGGAGATGGCGGATTGGATCAAGTCGACCTCGACTGTTACAAAGAAGGGAGATATAGATAAAAATGCGCACCTTATGTGGTCCCGGTGTCAAGGCCTCGCCTGGCTAGGGCTGCAGGGATTTTGATACTTTTTCCGGCGCACGCAGTTTCCATTGCCACCTTTTTTTTGGAGGGGTAGAAGGTTTCGTCAAAAAGGTGGCTGAATGGCTATTCATGACGGGCAATATATCAATGATCTTTCAAGGATAAAAGAGGCAATTAGCAACGTACAAGGTGTTATTAATTCACTTATTGTCCTGTCTGAGTCTATGACTCTGTAGCACATGCAGGTCCTCTCTGAATACAGGCCAAGAATACCTATGCCAGTAGTATATCCCATCCTATGTTTTTCACATATCTCCCCTCAAACAGTACCGCCATTCACAGGTCCTCATTCTATCATACACTTAGAGGAGCCCCTAGCCCTTCAATTTCTCCCCTCTCCAGCCAACAAAACGATGGCCATTTTCGGGTGTATGGCAGCCGGGAAAATCGAAAAAACCTACTGGGTGCGGAGCTCTCCTAATACCGACATCAGGACTAAATCCGAAGACATCGTGATCCTCCCGAAGCTTTCGAAGAGGCCGACCAGCTGGGCGCTGCAGACTTGTGGGTACCTCGGAGAATTCACACTCTGCCTTTCTAACCTCCTTCCAACTCCTTCCCAAAGGTCGTTGTCAGGAACTGAGGATAGAGGTTACTGGGATATAATGGTTGCCATGGGTTATGAATCGAGTAATCGAGTAGTAGAAGGTGGACTCTATGAGACCTAGGTTGCTCTGGTTACTATGATGTATATATGGATTGGACAGAGCCGCAGTAGAGGGCCACGTCTTGTCTTCCGTCTTCCACTGGCCTTGTCTCCGATCCTAGATTCCCTCGTCCCTCGTCCTTAGTTCTAGTGAAAATCACAAATTTATACCTTTGACTCTTGCCAACCTCCTCAGATATTTCCCAAGTCACTCAGTATCACTCCCGACGCTGCCTTTGGCACCCTCGTGTTTGACAGTCGTGCTGAAATGTCAGAAAAGTCTTGACAGAGCGTGAATGATTTATGGTAGCTTAGCTCAACTTCTTTTGTGCCATCCAGAGCGTTGGGGAGTGCCGTTGACTCATCCATAAAAGAAGCCCTCCTGGCTAATTAGTCGAAATCTTAGTCTTGGCGCCCACAAAAAATCCAAAGTTGAAAACTCCTCGAAAATGTCAGTCCCGGCATGCTCTTCAAAGACCTGTTCCCCTCTCGTTCCACTTCTCAGCCGCCTCTCATTCCTCAAGATGTACAACCCCATTGGAGCATCAGTCCCTCATAAACCAAGACCCCAACTTTGTATATTATGACTTAATTTCTTCCTTGCGGGTATACGTAGCGTCGTAAGCTTGTACTGAGTGATGGCCGGTGATGAATGAGGCAAGCTCCTGTTTGCAATTGGGGTGACGCCTTTATCAGTCTGCGAGGCGAGATGATATGTGGTTAGGTCGGGGTTGAGGACTCAGAAGATAATGGTGAGTGCTGCATGATTGATAAGTCGTCAAATGGAGATATGCAAGTGTTTGCTTTCGACTTCGATTCGGATGCGATTCTTCTTGGCTATCCCAGATATGCAGAGCATACTGAGCGACTACACCGGCACCACTGGAAGGTGAAGAATTCGTCTTTGCCGGCCACGAGGTGCATTCATGTATTGATGGATAGTCGTCAGCAGTAAATGCGCCGAGCACAGGCAGGTGCTCCAATAGCCACGAAGAAGTACGAAAATCTCCCGAACCATCTGGGCTAACTCAGGTAAGAGTAGAATGGGTGCCAGGGCATTCGGGGATACATGGAGATGAGGAAGTAGACGCAGCGGCCAGATCCGGCCTACGAACACTTCCCAGCGTGGAAACTCAGCCAGCAACCATCACAACGGCATTTCTATATCAAAAAATACATCGCCAACCATAGGCTTTGCCCGACAATTAGTGGAGTGAAACTTGCCCACCATGGCATCGTAAGCTTAATCTGCTAATGCACCGTCGCAGACCACCGGAGCTGGAGCTTTCTAGACACTTGTTACGAAATCTCATCGCTGCTTTATCCAACCAGACGCTTTCAAAGAGTGTATCTGTGGGGAGGAAACCACCCCTGCGCACATCATACATTGTCTATTCAACGCAAACATCACGTGTCGAATCAGAAGGTCATCGTCGCACTGTGCCCTTCTAGACATGCTGCTCGGAGCAAAGTGCTTCGAGGACTTTAAAAAAATTGCGCAGGATACGAATTGTTTTGGGTATTCTCTCGTGCGGCCATCTCCTACTCTCAATCGAGATCGAATATAGCTTGTCAGAAAACTAAGCCTGTATAAACGGGAAGCGAGGCGAGGAGTGTTGGTACCCTTTCTAATTTCTTTACAATTTAGATTTTTGTCGGTTTTGGGGGAAGGAGGTAACTGCGGCGGCGCATACTTTTGACTGACTGCTGGTTTTGTGGTGGTTCATGCGGTGGAATCAAGCTGGGTTTGTCTTAGATGTAGTCCTGGCTATGAACACCGGTCTTCTACTCATAGTGGACTTGGAGCTTTAGCTTTGGACTTTAAGTTGACAACTCCTTGGTTCTCGAGGCCGTAACAGCTGCATTCCATGCGAGCCGGGCTATAGCCAGGCAACAACGAGTGCTGCCTGGCTTAGATTTGAGACCGCTAGGCCCGAGGATGAAGGGCTTTTGTCAGTGTCCGAGACACAATCGCAACGTCCATCCGATTCAAACATGGCGCCTAAGCAGCAACGCATTACAGTTACTTCGGGCGAGCAGCGACGTTTGCCCCGCAACGCCGTCGCCAGCGTATATCAAACGCTAACCTCTCCTGACAACACAAAAGTTGTGCGCAGTATAGCCATCTTCGGTGTAGGTCCCCCTCTGCGGCGCGCGCCAGCTATCATGTCCTGCCTCCGCGGCTAACCCGAGTTTTCTCCATAGCTTGCCGTCGCCTTCTTCTCCAGCAGTTGGAGTGAAGTTCTCCTACCACCGTAAGTTTCTGCTACTATGCTGTCGCTCACAAAAACTAATTAACGTGGGCCCAGTCTCTAAAATTAATCGCCAACCAATTCGCCGCAACCTCTATCCTAACGGGCTCATTTTCCGAAAATACGAATGTTTAGGCTGGATATGCGGCAGAGTAGAGGGTTCAGGCATAGACCATAACACGCATTTCCGAGAGTTCTTCCTTATACCTACGCATATGGTTTCAGTATTTCAAAATGAACTGGTACAATACCTTTTACAAAATTAGCCCCACACTTAACAGACTTGGCCTCTTACTTTCAAGATGTGCCGGTGCACCACAAAAAATTCAAGGATCTCCGTCAGTTAGCATGATGAATCTAGACTACCTTGACTTGTAAAATGGGCGCGCTTAATTCCTTGCGCCAACTGAATAATGAATCATAAGCGATGGCTCTGCTTGCCACCTCGGGCTCTGACCAGGCTTTACCTTTATCTCCACCACGGCCAAATCCCACAAGCCATGTAGTCTAAGCTAGTATACTGTGTAATCTTCATCGATTATGTGCTCCATTTACCTTACAGATATGGCCTTAGAGTACAACTGATGTTCTATGAATCAGATTTCAACCGTGTGTCACCATCAAGCTATGAAACAATATCAAAAATATAGTCAAAATAGATGATTACATTAAAAGTTGAGTACTGATGCCTCGGATTTCATTTGCAGGTACCACTGAGAAGTTATGGTGGCTTTTTCTTCACCCCAAGTCAGCCCTCACACGTGAATGCCCACCTAGCGAAACGTCTCAAAACCCCTCAGTTGTCCGGACATTTCACCATCATCCATTGGCTGGTCTCCGCGCGAAATGCTGTGTATCTAATTGTTCGTATTTTAGTTTATTTTAGGGTGTATGATTCCTTGTGATATACCAACATGTATGTTATAAACTTCGAGACAGGAGAATATACAAGTTCAAGTTTCTACGTTACAAGCCTCTTTACACTTCAGAAGTAGAAGTATTTGAGGCTTTACGTGAGACTTGTTATCTACAACTTAGTCTGACGCGTCTCCTTTCTAAATGGGGTAGTTGCCTGGGCTACACAAACTATAGCGGAGCTCACTTCCGGGAGGTAGTCCACGGCGCCTGCCATCGACAGCTTGTTTTAAGGTGTCAGCATCACTGAATTATTTAGTCTAAGCGTCTGAATAGAATTCTTGATATTCTAATGGGCACGTATAGTGTTTCTTGCATGTTAATGAGACTAGAAATATCTACATTTTCCTTCAAGTACTTGAGCACGAGTGAGGTGAGGCTGTCTCGGGTAAACCATCATTGAGTATATGAACCGCATCCGACATAACCGACTAGATCACCTTAACCTTAATTTGTTAAATCTTCCTAAGCCCAAACTTCTGTTAAATTCGGTTTTAGCGCAACGAAGCGCTAGTTTCCTCGCGGACTAGTCCAATTCTCGCCTGAACCCTTAAAATCTTCTGTGGTCATATTTTCCCTTGCCTTAGGGCTTAGTGTTTCCTGGTTTCAGCAACTTCATCTCTACTCGAAGTATGTTTGTTCGTAAAGGGCCTAATCTAATCGCCCACCGCGGCTTTGTGAATGCCACTTGATGGAAACCGACCTGCAAATTCCGCACTGTTGATTGGCTCACGTTGTGCGAGGGGAATATCTAAATAAGCTGGCGATCCTGTGTTGTAGAAATAAGATTCACGCGCTTTTTGACTCTAGCTCTACTCACACTATATTTTTGATCAGTCGGAGCCACGAAGCACCTGCGTGAAATCACTGTGATCATAAACTGACCAGCCTGAAGCCACAGCTTCCTCCGTTTCATCGTCTCTTTCCATCTATCGATCTCTTCATCTAATTAGTTTGAATCACAGGCAAAGTTTCAGTCTTGCGTCGTCGCTGATCTACCCCGAACCGTGGATGCCGGATATGTGGCGAAAATCTTGAGAGCGAGGCACCGTTGCCTCGACATTTGTCGAGTACTCTAGTTGATAAGACGTCCAAACCTTGTACCCATTTCGTCGGTTCTACTTCGTACCAGATTAATTTAGTGGTGCCTTTTGCTCAAGGTGTTGGCGCATTTTAAGCCGGGTTTTGACCGAAGCTTCATAGCACGTTACAGTAGCAGAAAGATGGATGATAACTTGTATCTTCGATTGCTAATGTGACTTTTAGATTATAGATACCTGAGGCAGGACGCGAGCCAGGTTTGAATGTGAGGTATCGTACAGGGAAAATAAAAATGGCATGGCGTATGAGTCATTTTATGCAAATATCAGGCAGGTTTGAGCTTATCTAAGCCTCCTTCTTGGTGATGTGCAAGAAGCATGAATATTACATTTTATTTATTTATCTTTATTTAACGTCTGGCGGGAATATTACATTAAGTGTTGTTAACTACTTATAAATACAGTTTATGACGCGATAAATCACGTGATATGTGGAGCACCCATTACACCCCCTCGTACAAATTATTTTAGATCTATATTAAGTTGATGACAGAACGTTGTGTGCTTTATGCGTTGTAATGCTTTAGTTAGTCCATCAGCCTTGCACAGATACGTTGGTGTATATTTCAAAATGATAATATTACCTTGAATTGACTCTCGGACAGTTGACTGTCGCATAAGAAAATGCCGATTACGGGCTGAGATTTTCTCAGAGTTAGCTGTTATCATGGCAGATGTGTTGTCAATTTCAGTAATGATTGGCTGACTGACAACCTGAAATAGTTCCTCATAAAGAGGCCGTAGCCACTGTGCAGTAACGGCTAGCGTAGTAAGAGCGGCGTATTCAGCTTCGCATATACTTTGAGCCATGACTGTTTGTTTCTTTGATATCCATGCAATTGGAGATCCGTTTATGAAGAAAATATTCCCTGAAGTGCCTTTAGAAAAGTTTGTATTTCCTCAACTACTGTCTGAAGAGGCAGTGAGTTCCGGGTTTGTTTGTTTGGAGAAAAATAGGGTTGATGATTTCGTCCGCGAAACGTAACGTACTAAGTGCTTAAGCGATAAAAAGGCATTTTGAGATGGGCTTCGCACGTAGCGACAAAGTCTATTGATAGCATATTGTATATCAGGTCTTGTCATATTTACAATATGTAGTAGAGTCCCGACAGCGGATCGGTATATAATAGCATCAGATTTCGAGCACAATTTTTCCGTGTCACGATCGATTAGATTATCATCAGATATTGGTTTACTTGCGCCTTTACAGTGGATCATACCCATATCTTCACAAAGAGCATCGATTTTGTCTTGCTGATTGATATGTATGCCATCAAAACCTTTTTGGATGTTAATACCTAGAAATTTGGTCATGTCACCAAGATCTTTTAGTTTGAAAGCTTTAGCCAATGATGCAATAGCCTCATCGATTTTAGAGTGAGATGCGGATATAATCATGAAGTCATCGACATATGTAGAGATTATTGTTACAGCACGACGAAATACATTCGAGTCGGTTTTAAGTGGATGAAATCCCATATCATGAAGGACTTGTTGTAAAGGGTTTAAAGAATTCAGAAGTACTTGAAAGACGTTAACTCAATAGGAATTGATAATTTTTCCTTGGGAAGCTAATCTGCCTGCGACGGCTCCTGTCCTTTATGTCCTCCTCAGCGTCGCGTTTAAGCTCCCCTCCTAGCCTACCTGAGAATACTCCATTCTCCCCGGCTACCCTCTTTCCTGTGACATCCTTCCCCCCTTAGTACATACTCCCTTGGGTCCTTCCTCATGCGCAACCTTGCAATTATCCTTATGCAACACTGAGACTCGTTCTTGTGCGCAACCTTGCATTAATCCTTATGCGGCATTTAGGCCTTTCCTTATGCGCAACCTTGCAATTATCCTTATGCAACACTGAGACTCGTTCTTGTGCGCAACCTTGCATTAATCCTTATGCGACACTTAGATCCCTCTTTGTACGTATCCTTGCATTCTTCCCCATGCAACCTTTCGCGTCTCTGTAAGCGCTGCTTCCTTGGCGCTTAAAGATCTAGCCGGGTTGGTCCTAGTGACCAGTCCCAATCCGGGCACAGCCCGTAACACTTGTCGAAGCTTAAGATGCCATCGTTTAGGTGCTGTTTTCAGGCCGTAGATAGCTTTTTGTAATTTGCATACTAAATCCCCCGACTGTTCGACACCATGAGGCTGTTCAATATATATGGGCCGATCAATATCGGCGTGAAGAAAAGCAGCCGTAATATCAACATGACGGATATGAAGACTATTGGTGGCTGCAAAGGCTAATAGCATACGCATCGTAGTCGGAGGCAGAACATCAGCATAAGTGTCCTCAGCAAATGGCTCCGAGAAGCCGCGCGCACACCATCTTGCTTTGAATTGTCCATCAGACTTCTCTTTTAGAGCCCATTTACCAGTCATTATTCTCCCATTTGCCTGAGACCGAGGTATCAAGGTCCAAAAATTATTGCGACTCATACTATCAAGTTCTCGGTCGATGACTTTGCTCCATTCTCGAGCTTTAGGACCAGAAATGGCTGTTTCAATTACACGCCGGTTATTCACACGGAGTGTAATGAAATGGTGTTTGAGAGGAAAAATATTTTTGTGAACGCGGATATCACGGCAAATGACTGTTCTACCAGTTTCAGGATTTAGAATGATGTTACCCCCAGAGGATTCTGTGCCAACATAGATTCCTTCTTTTGCTTTGGAGTTTAGCTTATTCTGATCGGGAACTAGCCAGAAATCACGACAACCGAAAGGATGAAGATGTTTAATGTCAGGCGTCTTTTGAAATACTGCATAATATGATGAATTTGGAGCTATACTGTTTGGGGTTATGTTCAGTGAGCTTATAGATGCAGTAAGAATGATAGGCCACAGACGCAATGGTAAACCTGACTGTAAGTGAAGCGCTCGCATCTTTTCAGTGACTGTACTAACGTTTCTTTCAACAATTCCATTTTGCTCTAGAGCATGTGACGATGACCTATGCCATTCAATGCCACGAGAAAGAAGTTCTTCTTGAAGTTCCGAGTTTAAGAATTCAGTACCACTATCTGCGTGAAGAACCTTTGGAATTTTGTCAAATTTTGTCTTCAGGTGTTGTAGAAAATGACAAATTTGAGTTGGCACAGTTTTCTCAGAGTAGACCGGCCAAGCCCATTTCCAAGAGATGAATTCATCAACTGCAAGAAGGAACCAAGTAGCATTAGGAACTGATTTGTCTATGGTTGTGGTAGATAGAGATTTCTAACCACCAACTAGATCCATATGAATACCCTCACCAA